GTGTGTGTGTGGTGTATGCGCCTGCCTCACTCACACACTCGCAGCACACATACACTCACTACCCCAGTCCGTCGCGCTAGCGTTAGCGCTACCTCCTCCTCCTCCCACCCATACCTCTCTGCTTCTCAGGTCCTGGCCTACCTCACCTAGATATATTGTGTGCCGAACTCACCTACTCAGCATTACCTACTGAAACCAAAGTACAACTACCTCATTGTTAAAGGTTTAGTGTGTTGAATTTACCTCATCCCTCATGGAGGCATCTGTCTCCTCCCCATCGGTTGACGATGACTTTCCTCCGGAACCTCGTGGAAGATGCTATACCTGGCCCATGCAGCAATTCCTCTACGATCCCTCTTTATCCGAACATCAACAGCCGAACCTACCTCATCCTTCGATGATTCGTGAACCCACAGTTGCTCAACTCCTAGCAGCTACCCCTTCCTCCTCGAGTTCAGCCATGGGCACCCATCTGATGCCCTTAGGCATGTCCCTTCCCCCAGGAATGTCCTCAACGGGACAAGCTTTATTACCTCCGAAGAAGAAACGATGTCGTAAGAAGCCGAGTGATCAGTTAGCACAGAAAAAACCAAATCCTTGGGGTGAAGATTCTTATTCGGATATTATCGCTAAAGCGCTTGAATCGGCTCCGGATGGTCGCCTCAAGTTAAATGAAATCTATCAATGGTTTTCTGATAATATTCCTTATTTTCGTGAACGATCTAGTCAAGAGGAAGCTGCTGGATGGAAGGTTTGTGATTCGGTCTTTGATCTTGTTTTGGTTTTTTGCGGTTGCCATAATCGGTTTTTTTGTAGTTTTTCACGGAATATTGATAACTTCATGTAATAGCTCCTGATTTTCTTCCATTTCTTTCTTTCCCTAGAAAATTTTTACCTTTCTCGTACAATGTCACTTTTCGAAAAAAAATCTGTTCATAATTTTTTTCTCCTCCAGAATTTTTTCGTCAATGGAAAACTTCCTGCTACCCATTAGTTTTTGTCTCCATTGATGATCTCTTCCCTACCTGTCTTGTTTTTGAAATTTCTTTCAAAATCTTTTTTTTTTTGCACTATTCCTAGCTATTGCATCATTTTTGCAGCATTTCGAAAATCAGGATGTGATTAGGAAGACTATTAAATGTACGACTTTGGAATTACCAGTTGAATTTTTGCAAAATTGAAAGTGAAAGGGTAGACCGAGTGCTTCATGTTGCTTTTTTTGGATTGGACATTTTTTTTTAAATTTGCAATTCTTCCATTTCTAAGTGCTTGCCTAATCTACCACTTCCTCCCCGAAACCTCCAAAAACGCCGAAAAAATCGTTCGGTTTCTACCCAATCCTTATTTCACCGTATTCGACCCAATGCCGTCTGTTATCTCTCGTTCGTAGGGCGAACGCCGCCGAGTGCATAAGGACCTTGTGGTCCCCGGCGTTATCTCTAACTCTCGTCTTTCCTGATTTGTCGTGCTCTCTCGCACAACTGAGCCTCATCAGCTGGTCATTCGTTATAATCCTCTAATGGCCGCTGAGCGCTC